TTATATCAACATTCACATGAAAGTAAGATTTAAAGGCATAATATATGCTCAAAGTCTATCTAAAAAGTTGTAACTTCACCTAGGCTCCTAAAAGTAAACTTTATAGAATTATACTTCTATTATATGATTTCAATATACCTTTTGAGTTTATTTGAATAATATTTAGAATAGGAAAGTATTTTTTTGTTTTTATTTAAATGTAAAAAATTAAAAAATTTATATTTAGGTGATGAAATGATAAATTGAAAAGAATATTGGACCAATCCTTAAAAATCCTTTAGTGAATATTTTGACGTTTTCATTCTCTTTTTCTAATTATTAGCACATATTTTTTTTCGTATGTCTTTAAGTTAATAAATGTTTTTCTACTTTTTCAATTTTAAAATATGGAATGTAGAACAAAATATATCATTGGTCACAAAAAAGCGATATGTCTTCATAATGTCGTGGGTTATTAGAAACGATGATGACATTTTTCAACATCCTTGTTTGTGAATTGTCTGTAAGTACAATCATTTGATCTTGAACAGGTCAACACAATTATACTACATATTACCTTTGTTATTTAATATAAGAACTCATTAACAGGTTTTTTAAATTATTTTTTTAATAATGTGTATTAAAATTATTTTTTTGGCAAAAATCTCTTATAACTAATAGGATGTTTTAGAAAATAAATTGCAATTTATTTTTAATTAAAAGTCATATGTTAATTCTTTCTAAGCGTCGCTCACATAAATTCCATGTTTTAAAATGCGAACGCTTGCATCCTTGCAAACATCCCAAGTTTTTGCTCCTTTGTTTTAGATGGTAGAAGTTGCAATTTCGAATCTCTAACTTCGTACAATTATATAAGTTTTTAGTTTGTTTCTTTAGATTTTTTTATAAAAAAAAAACCTTTTCAGTAGTTTTTTTTTTTGGCTTATCATAAGTATCCCCTTATTAGAATTAGAAGTAATGTTATTTGATGTACTATCGTGTATTATACGTGGACACCACTCCTGATAAAAATTTGAATATTAACTTGTTATGTTATAAAAGACTAGTTTCTTCCGCTATTCAGTAGCTTAATTCTAATACAATTAGTCTCACATGATAATTTTTTGGACAATCATTCTTATTTTAAAAATTAAACTAAATGTATTAGTATTTAGTAATGTTTTGTTAATGCTTAAAATTTTTAAATTAGCATTTTTATTAGCTGTGTTAGGATTAGAAAGCTAAAGAGACACCTTATAAAATTAAAAAATAAAATTAAAGGATTAAAGTGACACTTTTGTATTTTTAAATCTGTTATTGAGACGGTACTTTGTCTTATTCTTATTTAAAAATTATTTGTTTGATTTAAAATAATATCCCCCAGCTAAGGGGCTCTGTTTTATATTTGTCGTGATTATGGCAATGGGAATAAAATAAGGGCCTAAGCAGCTTCCTTAATCACCATTTTCAAAGTTACTTTGAAAATAATAATTAAAGTATACTTCAATCATTATCCCTATTGGCATGTTCCTTTTCATTTAAAAAAAAAAAAAAAAAAAAGGCCTTCAATGTTAGGCGCTTTTCCCCCTCTTCCCATTACTGTTTTTTTTAATTAATAATTAATCAATCAGATCAGTATAATTCACTTACTCCAATGCCCTGTCGCTCCACTAATAATAATTTATTTCTTTAAACTCTCAACTCACCCATCTGATACTATCTCCAATCTTAATTATAAAAGTTAGTTGACTAATTTGAGGAGATTGAGAAAAGAAGTTAAGTTAGTTATTTGTAATAAATATGTATTGTTTTTTTTAAAATATCCTTGCTAATCAAGTGTATTAGTTAAAACTATTATTGTTAGAATGATTACTTTAGGAAAAAATATATAAATATGAAAGAAAAAGTGAATTGAGGTCTTATATTTATGATCAAAATAAAAGTCAAACAAAATCGCATATTAAAGATCAGAAGTAGTATATTCTTAACAGAAAATTCAAATTCAACTTTAAGAGAAACGTTTGATGCTGTTGAAATACAAAACTCCGACCCCAATAACAATAAAAATAACAATTAATAATAATAATAATAATACAAGTAGAATTGATATTATTTTCTTAAATAATATTCCTTCGGTCATTAATATAAGACATATTTAACTAATTTGATTAGATTAAAAAAGTTAGGTAAGTTAGTTAATTATAAAAAATATGATATGTTTTTCCTAAAACATTATAATAATCTTCCTTAATATCATCTTTCCTTCTTCTATTTGATTATGGTTGAAGGAATATTTATAGGAATAATTTTAAAAAAATTAATAAATATGAGAAATAGATATTATATTTAGAATCAAAATTAACTCAATAATTAGGTTATATATTAAAGACTGAAAGAGTATTGTAAGTTTATTTTATTTTTTTAACCAAACTGTAGGTATTTTTGTTATGATAGATAAAACTCACACATCTAACATACTACCTCTATTCTTTAATATAAGAGTTAGTTGAGAATTAAATTTGATTTTTAATATAAAATTGTAATTCATTTTGTCTCCTAAATTTATAAGTTATTCTCTAAAATATTTCAATTAATTACTTATTTAAGAGAGTTTTATAAGTAGGACATTCGGGCTGTTTGGGTACCACCTGCGTTAGGTGGTTTTCCCTTCAGTCTCTGGTCCGAAAAAAAGAATAGTATGATTAAAAAGATATTTTGCAAAAATTATGTTATATTTATTACAAATAACTAATTTAACTAATTTTTTTAATCCATCTAAATTAATTAAGTATGTTTTATTATAAAAGATGAAATTAGTAACGTTGTGTTTAAAATAGACGCAAGCAAAGTCCCTAGTATTATTCGACTGAAAAATTCCCAACACCTACTTGTAGGATTAAACTTTGAACCCTACATATAAGAAAAAATTATTTTATATGTGAGTATTAATTACGATGAGAGAGAACTGGCCAAATTAAGCAGAATAATGTTCAAGTCGGATGGAATATTACTCACATATAAAATAATATTTAAAAGACTAAGTCACTTAACCCCACAACATGTCACCAAACGGCAATCCTTATCCCTCAAAACGACCCCAACCCTTATCCTCCAAGGACACCAATTGTGTCTTTTTATTTGCATCCCTATCATTTCATTTCACTCTGGAAGAATTGCAATTAGGTCCCACTTAAAGGAATTAAATACAAAAAGATTTTTTAAAATTATAAAATTATTCTGAAATCTTAAGAGACTTTTTTGCAATAAATTTTATTTATTTAATTACCAAATTATCTTTCTTCTTTTTTTTTAAAAAAAAGTTTGTATTGACAACTGAAAGAGTAGTGGTTGACAACTCAGGGTGCAAGAATCGACAACTATCGCGGCTGGTTTGACAACTTAGGGTGTGATATGCTGAGAAAATATGTTGTCAAACCAGCCGCGATAGTTGTCAATCCTTGCACCCTGAGTTGTTAACCACTACTCTTTGAATTATCAATACAAACTTTAAAAAAATGAAGGGTGATTTAGTAATTAAACAAATAAAATTTATTGTAAAAAATTCTCTTGGACTTTAGAATAATTTCATAATTTTAAGGAATTTTTTTGTATTTGATTCCCTTAAATGAGACTTAATTACAATTTTCCCTTTCACTTTTGATACATCGCATGACCGCATTAAATCAATGATTTTTTTTTAAAAGGTCGGTTATTAAATTGATAAAAATGTCAATCCATTATTAATTAAAAAGTATCTTATTTTTAGTAAAAATTGAAGAGGACTTAACAAAATTTCTACTCATCATTTCAAAATATAAGTCATTTTAAAAGAGAAGTTTTGTTTTACATATCCTTCTAAAAGTTCCATACAATACTTTTTGGTATTTTTTTTATTATACTCTTATTTATAATCTTAATGCACCATTTATAAGTACGCTTGTTCCTTTGTTTCTATTTATTTTATTATAAAAATGTAAAATTAATTATGTCATGTATTGATTGTAGTTCTTAATGTTGTGGGTGGAAAAAAAAAAGTTCTTAATATCATGGAAACCTTAGAAGATGTAATGGCAGATAATGTACTGGAGAATATTTGTTTGGCATGTTATTATGAAATCATGGAATGAAATTTATATTTTATCTGCAAAATAAATATAAACTACTTTTTTTGTCAATTCTATGTGGGCCAAAAAAATGAAGAGTATAAATGTTTGAATATTGATATCAGCAAAACTGATAAATCGCCAGAATTTTTTTGTTTTGACCTGATCATACCATAGCGCCTTTCATTCTTAGAAATGGATTCTAAAAATGGAACACTACTAATTACTATCTATACTGTTTTCTGTCAGACCCAATTAATTATTTATAAATCATTTTATTAAACTTTTAATATGAATATACTGTTTTGTTATTAATTTATTATAGTATAGATAATTTTTTTTTAAGAATTTATATATATTAAAGAAGAATACAATTAGAAAGTTATTATATTTTAATAAAATATTAATACAATTTAAATTTTTTTTAGAAACACAGTAAAAGTATTTTATAAATAGAACTGAAAAAATAACTTCTTTAATCTCCCAATAAGTCAACTCATCTTATATTATATTATTTTTAGTTCTAATTATAAGATTTTATTACCAGAACTAATATTAAAAAGGGGTAGTATTATTTATTTTTTGAATCCTTAATATTATTAGATCTAACTTTTAATTAAAAATTGTCATTAAAAAACATTTTCATCAATATATAGTCAAAGTCTTCAAACATTAACAATAACGGTAGTTACGAAATTGGTCGTCATCCTAAAATTTTTACGAGTATTTCATATAATAATAATAATAATAATAAGAGCAGGTATGTTGTGTGGATGTGTTCATCCACGTGCCGTGCTCGTGCATACTCACCTTTCTCTCACCAACACACGGTGAAATCACACTCCTACACGTCACCAGCTCGCATATGCTCCGGCATCTATATATCTCCCTTCCGGATCCAGCCCGCATATCCCTCTGTTACCCATTCCACATTTCTCTCTCTCATTAACTTTCAATTTTCCACCTCTGCGCAGATTATTTCCTTCGAATATTCTCCAGAAAATTCCTCCAAACTACTCCATAAGAACACTAAACCCATCATCATCTCCTTTATAAGAACCACCTAACCTTCACGTTTTGCTGAATTCAGAGTGAAGTTGACTCTCGAGTGTCGAGCCCTACCCACATAATATAGTTCTTCAATCATTCTTTCATCTGGGCACCAAGTATTTGCCTTTGATCTGTTTTAGAGTTGGGTTTTCGGTTTTGATTGTTTTTGTAGCTCGAATCAATGGTGGGGCTTGCGAGAAAGAAGCGGGTCACTGACCCTCTCGACGACGAGGCTAAGGCCCGTCTTGTCGGAGCTGATCTCCGGCGATTGAGTTACGGGAGCAGCGGGAGCGAGCATTCCGGCGATGGTGACGGGGACTCGCCGTGTCTTTCCGAGCTTGTGCTTGATTTCCTGGAGGACAACGAGGATGAGTGTAAGTCGGTGACGAATGAGTTGGATCCGGATCGGGTCGATCTGGAGGACGATGGATCGGAGCTGGTTGACGATATGATACTCAGATTGAGTGTCGCGAACAATGTGGATTCTTACCGGAAGCTTCTTCTGACGCATGTTTCGGAGGCGATAGAGAAATTTGCGTTTCTTCGTGGAAACGTTTCGGTGTTCCTGCGAAATGTGATGGCGTTTCTGAGAGAGAAAGGGCACAATGCGGCGATTTGCAAGACCAGATGGGATTCCTCCAGTGGAGTCACCGCCGGTAACTATGAGTTCATCGACGTGATCCAATCCGATGCGTCATCGTGGCAGAGCAACAGGTACTTTGTTGACGTCGGATTCGCCGCCCAGTTCGAGATTGCTCGGCCGACGAGCAAGTACTCCGAGATTCTTTCCTCTCTGCCAAGCATCTTCGTCGGCAAGGCGGAGGAGCTGAAGCGTATCGTTCAGGCCATGTGCAACGCCGCAAAGAGGTGCTTTCGGAGCAGAGGGTTTTCTGTGCCGCCGTGGAGGAAAAACCGGTACATGCAGAACAAATGGTTCGCGCCGTATCGACGAACAACGAATCCAGTTCAGGGAAACACAGTTCCTCCCGTTGTTCCGGCCGTTACTGGGGCCAATTGCAGATTAGTTGGATTCGACGACGTGAGTTCAGAGGCCAGACACGGTGGCGTTTTTGTCCGGACGAGATGATAGAGTGGCAAATTTTTGTAAATATTTTGGGTGCCCAGGGCAAATCTGTGAAATCGATGCGCCCTTTTTTTGGTTGAGGACTTTAATGTTAATTGAAATAAAAAATTAATAATATTTAGTGGATAATTCATAATTGAGTAGTGAATGCGGCGAATCCAAATCGTTTCTTTGTTAAGCGGCGAATGGGGGCCTGGATCACATGCAAACGCGGCCACTATAAACTCCTGACATGAAACTCCTAGACTTGTCTAGATTCATCGAACTTGGTGATTTTTTTTGATGATCATAAAAGGACAAATAGAGTGGGACCCATGGGACAAGTGGAGTAATGATTTTCCTGGGCGGAAAAAAAGCCTGAGATGAATTTGATAGGATAATAGTGGGTGACGTGGCGAATCTGAGAGACATTATATTTTATCTATTTTCGATGTGACAAGTGGTGTCGGGACTCGAGTGTGTATATTGTTTGATTAGTGGGTAATGAGAGGACAGCTGGCACTCAAGGTGGGGCCCAACTTACGATTATTTTTCAATTGATTAAAGTTGGCCGGAGAAGAAAAACAAAGGTTTGGGGTAGTTGGATGATGTTTAGTTTAGTTAATTAAATGGCAAGGTTTTCCTTATTTTACATATTTTTTTATAAGTGTTTTTTTTTAAATTAAAGCATAGGGAAAAAGAATATGCACTCTCGAATTATAATATAAGGTCATAGATATCTTTAACTTTGGCAGCCGATTCAGGGAAAGGACGAGGAGTTTGCTTATGATCGAGACGGATAAAATCAATCCTTACATAGTCCATGGTCAAACTTATTTCGGTCAACTTTTAATTATTTGACCACACCTGGTTGTTACATTCATCAAGTTTAACGTGTTGAGGGGTTGACATCATTGTTAGCCTCATAATCAAATTTTGATTTTGGATTTTCTTGTTTCAAATTGTTGGTTTTAGTATCTATAATTTTTCATAAAGATTTGGTTCGAGTTTAATGGCCAGTCCTTACCTTTTAATAGTTTTAGATATTACTTATATCAAGTTTTTCAATCACATATGATAGTGTATCATATTTTTGAAATATTAATACTCCTCCAGTCCTTAATATAATACTCCTCCGGTTCTTATTATAAGACCCCATTTGACTTTTTATTTGGTCCTAATTATAAGACCCTAATCCATTTTGTCTCTTATATTATGCATTTTTTTCCAAGATAATCCTTCTAATAATGATAGTTTTAGCCAATATACTTAATTAGCAAGGATATTTTAGGAATAACAACACTTATTTATTATAAATAACCAACTTAACTTACTTCCTTAATCTCCTCAAATAAGTCAATTGGGTCTTATAATTAGGACCGGAGGAGTACATATTTAATTAATTTGATTAGATTAAGGAAGTTAGGTAAGTTAGTTAATTATAAGAAAAATGACACATTTTTTCTAAAACACCATAATCATATTTCTTAATACCTCTTCTTCCTCTTCTACTTGATTATGGTTGAGGCAGTATCCATAGAGGTAATTTAAAGAAAATTAATAAGTATGAGAAATGGGTCTTATATTTAGACTAAAACTAACTCAAGAATTAGGTCCTATATTAAGGACCGGAGGAGTATTTAATTATAAATCTAAATGAAGTAAAAAAAAGACACATCGTATGTGTAATTAAAGAATTTGACATAATTGATATAAGGAACTGAATGTAAGTTTTTCTCTTTAATTTTTGTCTATATAGTTAAACTTAGATTAAGTTCTTATATAACTATAAGGATCAAAACTAACTATTTGAAATTGTAGATATCAAAATTCAATCAAATTATACGGATGAGCAATGATATTATAAATTTCTAGTCATTTCATAAAGGTTGTGGAGTCAAATTCACACATTTAACGTGTGAACTCTGAGTAGATTAGAAGTATATTATAGTAATAGCGGTACGTGGTAAACGACAAGCTCAAGGATGTCCGATATGTGGATAAATGATATGCACAAGAACAAGTGGCTAGCTGAGAAATATCATCACCTACCCATCCAATTATTTCAATATATAGTCATTTAACTTGTTATTATGATAATATTTTTAATTTAGCTTGTGGAATAAGGGGTGGGATCATTTTGACGGATAAGGATTGCCATTTTGGTAATGTATATTGTAGGGTTAATTGATTTTTTTTTTTGAAAAATATAATTATATTATATCTAGTACTCCTCCGGTCCTTAATATAGGACCCAAATGTTGAGTTAGGATTTGATCCTAAATATAAGACATATTTCTCATATTTATTAATTTTCTCTAAATTACCCATATAGATACTCCCTCAACTATAATCAAGTAGAAGAAAGAGATGGGGTATTAAGAAAGATGATTATGATGTTTTAAGAAAAACGTGTCACATTTCTTATAATTAATTAACTTACCTAACTTTCTTAATCTAATTAAATTAGTTAAATATGTCTTATATTAAAGACCGGAGGAATAATATTGCTCAAATTCAAACATTATCACAGTAACGCTCTTAATTCAGTTAACTTTTTTTTTTAAAAATATATAAGATCCAAACTACCAACATTGGTTATCCAAGTCTAATGTCTACTGGAATAGACTATTATTAATTGTTACATATTACTTTTTTCTTCTTTTAAAAAACATTGCTAAATCAAGTTTCGGTCCCTATCTCAACGACGGGATCAAATTGACTAAGGAACCATTTTTATTTAAATATCAATAACTGCATGGATTTTACCCTAGAAAATGTAAACCCATTAGGAACAACATTATGTGGCATTGTGTCATATGTATGGGATAAGTCTCAAATAAGCTGGGATCATTCTTGTGAGTCATATTGATGGCAACATATTTTATTATATTATACTTAGCTTATTTCTTTAACTTTCAATCTCTTTTACAGTTTTGACAAGCAAATTGGTTCTTATCTGGTGCCATAATTTAGGTTGTGAAGTTTAAGGGAAAGATAATGAAGGTTAAAGATGGATTAGCCTTGAAAGGTGCTTAGCCCATTTGGCAACGTCTTTAATCAAACCAAGATTTGTTTATTATTATTTTTAGGAGTGTCCTACTAATAAAGTGGCAAAGTTAAATTTTAGGAGTTCTTCACGCATAATTATTATATACATGTGATATGATTTTGTTTTGCTTTGTCTTTTTTTTTTTTTTAATTATAAAGTGTTTGGTTGACATATCGAAACTAATAACTTTATAATTTTGTGTCACAAAAATCTGCACATGAATAAAAGGTGGTTGTGGGTTTAATTCCACTTATCCGTCTAAATCTTCCATTAAAAAAGTCCAAACCATGGGTAAGCGAAAAACAAGAGTAGAATGTGATGAAGATGGTCACGTTTCTTTGATAAATGGTTAAGAAGCCAAACATATCAAAATGAAAATCATGTTTTTTTAAAAACTATATATATTTTCCCTGATATCGTTTGGATCATACCAACAAAATGATTTTTTTTTAAAAAAAAAGAGCATTAAATTTAGAGGAAGCAGCCTAAATCCACTAGAAAGAACAACGTGGCAATGAATCATATGGATTGGATAAGGCTCATGAACTGGGACCATTGATGTGAATCATATTGACGGCAACATATTTTGTCGGTCAAAACCTCATTTTCCTCTTTTTTTTTTGCTAGATATAAATATTCTCTCATAAATCATATGAAATACTGCCAGTCATTAAATATGAGTATTACATTGTGAGAATTTAACTCATTTCGATAGATCCAACCCCATTAGTGGTTATTCTCATTTTCATTTCTTATGTTACTTTTTTTTCTTCTCCTCTTTGACCGGGATTTTTACTTCTTGAGTTTGAATCCTGCATTATTATATTGTTGGTCCAAAAAAAGGTTTTTAGTATAAGAAAAACAAGTCTATCAGGGGAAAAAAAAATCCAACATTGTACTTATTTATTCTATAGCTTTTTCTGGATCTTATCCAAAAATGTTCATGGGTTATGCCATAGAGGAGATAATTAGTCATAAGTTATTTTTAGGAGTTATTAACAAAATCTGAACTAAAAAAATTATTTTGGTTCAAGAGAAGTTGAAGAAATTAATAGGAATTAAGTATTTTGATGTTTTACTCGCACAGTTTCTGACCATGGGTATTAAATCCCATCTCAATGTTTCTTGTGATTTATAAGAAGAAGAAGAAGAAGAAGCTTCCGACAGTTTTTATTCTCTGTTGTCTGAAAAACAATGGAGTATACTCAAATATTTCTTAAAAAGAATATTACTCTAACTGTTCAAATGTAAATTAATGAAAGTGACATTGTCATTGTGTGAAATTACTCGACATTAACACATTTGTCATAGAGTTTTCAGCATTTTGTATTATTTCTCTGGGTTGATTTATCTGCAACTTGTCTTTTTCCGGGAAATCACAGAGATGAATAAATGGTAACTCTAACTTTCAACATCAAAGAAGCCCCTAGAAAGAAGAAGAAGAAGGTAAAAATGAACTCACGAATGTTTAATCAAATTGATCAGTCCCATTTGTTTAATTAACAACATATATATGACTTTGATTAGGACAGGCAAATAAATAATTAAATCAAATAAAACAAGTAAACAACAGTTGGTTTGAGTTAATTTAAAAAATGATGAAGCAGCGTCTAAATTTAATGTATCCTTTTGTTTCAAAAATATTTCGCAAAAGTAACATTTAAGTAAATGTTTAAGATGATTTATAATTTTTTTTGGGCCAACGTTTAAGATGATTTATAAATTGAACTAATAACTGATTGATATTTAATTTTTATACTAATGATTGGGCCCATAGGTATTTTCGCTCCTAAATTATTTTGCTAGAAACATTGATTATCTTAAATTATTTATTAATAAAGCAATGAGCCAATCCAAAAGCATGAAATGAATTGATTAACTAATATTGCATGTTTGGTCTTGTATTGTAGTCACACTTGGAAATCAAATTCTACACAAGAAACTATCACGATTTGAAATTATATAGATCAAAATCAAAGTTGAATTAAAATATTAACGTAACACTGTCAATAAGCTATTAGTTAAGATGATAAATGAATAAATAATTTTACCTCTATAAGGAGAAAAACACAACTTTA